TTCCAAGGAGGCTCTAAGGCTGGACAGTTCCTGCCAGGCAGACAGCTGCTGAGCCCTAGGAATTGCTGGGGTGGTGGGAACTCTTCCTGCTTGTTGGCACAGACACTGGAGGGTCATGGGCAGAGGCAGCCGAGGTTTGGCCGTCACCACCAGAGGCTGCCGACAGTGGCCTCTCATCCTGGAGACTCTTAAACAAGAAAGAGTCCTCAGAACAGATCCTCTGCTCCCACGTAACTGGTTACTTCATTATCTCAAACAAATACAACCCCCCTTTGGGCTTCTGTACCAGAAACCTGGGCACTCTGGGTGTGCTGGGCTGGGCTGGAACAGGCAGAAGCTACAGTGGGTGAAAGTTGATGCTTAAGAATGTTTAGATTCTTTTTCATCCATCACTCCCAGACAGCTAGAGTCGGGGCCTGGACAACGTCAGGAAAGAAAAGAAAGGGAAGACTCGGGTCCTTTCTCGGCGATGTCCTTGTCGCTTGTGGTGCTGTGCTGAGTGGAGTAAGGGCACCAGACCGAGGAGCAGACTGTGCCAGAACTTTCTCAGGATTTGGTGAATCAGTTGCTGCCCCCTTCTTTTGTATCTCTCAGAAAGTGGATGAGGATTAGATTCAAGCATGCGAGGACTGTGTGCTATGAAAAAACCCACACGTGCATTCCACACTGTTATTTGCACCAAAATCAATTTATTTTTTAATTCCAGTTTTCAAGAACTTTATGAAACATCCTCAAACACAAGGCAACCTAGAAATTTCCTTGCTAAAAGAATTCTACCCTGCCTGCTTCTACCTTTTTAAAAAGATTTATTTATTATTTTTTATTGGAAAGGTATATATACAGAGAGGAGAGACAGAGAGGAAGATCTTCTGTCCGATGGTTCACTCCCCAAGCGGCCGCAATGGCTGGAGCTGAGCCAATCCAAAGGCAGGAGCCAGGAGCTTCTTCCAGGTCTCCCAAGCAGGTGCAGGGTCCCAAGGCTTTGGGCTGTCCTTGACTGCTTTCCCAGGCCACAAGCAGGGAGCTGGGTGGGAAGTAGGGTCACGGTGATTAGAACCGGCGCCCATATGGGATCCCCGAGAGTTCAAGGTGAGGACTTTAACTGCTAGGCTATCATGCCGGGCCCTATTTCTACATTTTTTGAAAGATTTATTTATTTTTTTATCAGAAGGGCAGATATGCAGAAGGATCTTTCACCTGCTGGTTCATTCCTTAAAGGCCACAGTGACCAGAGCTGAGCTGATGTAAATCCAGGAGCCAGGGCTTCTTCCAGGTCTCCCGAGGGAGGTACGGAGTCCCAAGGCTTTGGGCTGTCTTCTACTGTTTTCCCAGGCCACAGCAGGGAGCAGGATGGGAAGTGAAGCTGCTGGGATTAGAACCGACACCCATATGGGATCTTGGCACCTCAAGGCGAGGACTTTGACCACTACCTTATTGTGCCAGGCCCCACAAGTTTAATGCTGGTAACCCATGAAGGATTTTTTTCTTTTGCTGTAAGCAGCTGTGGTCAGACTGTATCCCTCCTAACAGCTGTCAGTGAGCAGCTGCACTTGGAGGATTTGAATTCTGGTTGAGTTGCAAGTGGCATAGAAAGTCATACTTTGAGGGACAAGAGTAGAGATTTCTGTAGGCCCAGCAGGTAGCTAAGGGCACTGCTGTGGGACCTGGTGGAGGGATGAGGGAAGACAGGGGAGGCAGCTCCCAGCTGCTGGGTCGCCCCCTCCTCCCACTGCCTCTGGCAGGGCTTCCTCGCACCATGCGGTTTAATCATCACCCCGTTCCCGGAGTTGCCCAGGTGGAGTTGGCAGCTCTGTCCTTTGGGCTCTTGCTGTTTTTTTACGTACATATTTGCTCTCATCTGTCTATGGCATCTGTTTCCTCCAGATGATTGTGGTTGTGTCATATTCATTTAGTATCTAACACAGTGCGCAATAGGATAGGATAACTGTTGACTCAATTATGAATTTGTGACCATTAACATACCTCACATGGGAAAAACAAACCTTTGGTGTTAAAAAAAAAAGGGCCTTCTTTTCTATGAAAACCATTTCTAAGTACCACGAAGGGCATAAACATGACTCTGCTATTTTTATGTTAAGTTTACATTAATTACAGCAGGGGCCATTCAGACGTTTCTGAATTGAACTGTGGCCCAGTTCATTCAGGAGTATTTTAAAACTCATCCCAGGCTTTCCTCAAATCAGACAAGTTGACACTGTCAGAACCACTGGGGTTTTGACATCACAGACTGGCAGGAGCTCAACTCCAAGAATCCCAGAAGGAATGCTGTGAAAGGAGCCCTCTCCCAACTGCGGGAGATTCCACAGACTAAAATGCTGCCACATGGCCAGGCAAATCTGAGAAACGTGTGCATAATGTTTTGCACACACCAGGCTGAGGAGAACTGAAACATCTCCTGACACGGAGTGGAGACAGGTTTTGGTGAAGTCAGCACTCCCTTACTGGTAGTGCGGTAGGTTGTAACACTTCCGGAAGACACGGTGAGGGCTTTCCGTGGTCCAATCCTTGGAACCTTAGGAGGTGAGCAACCTGAAGCTGCTCATTGTCAGCCTGGATGCAGCGGTGTGCGCTGCTCAGCTCCACCTGCAAACCTCTCAGGGACCCTTGGTTCCTCAAGAGCAGGGAGTCACACAGCCACCTAACAGCTCATGGTAGACGGCAGGGAAAATGTCGGAGTTTTATTATTATATCGTTGTCAATTCCTTGAAAGCCTGCTACTGAATAGATTCCCAAGGTGATCTCTATATCATATTTTACTTAAAGCAGTTTTTTGTGAATCATCTCATTTGCGACAGGAATTGTTACCCAGTCACTGGGAGAGTACACTTCCTTAATGAAGGCCAGTATTTCAAATGGACACTTAACTGCCAAAGGTTGTTTACAGTTTCTGCATCCTAGAGCATCCGGGCACTGTAAGACTAAGAGGTAAGCCTTTCTTTTCCCAGACTGGGAAACATAGAGCTGTTGTCAAGAGTTGGGAAGTGAACTAGCAAGGTACCTTGACAGCATTGCTCCACCAGCAGATGGACTTAGGAAAGGATATAGGGATAAACTAAAGATTCTGAAACTAGTGGCCAGACCACCAAGTGTCCGCCCACTTCTTCAAATTCCCAGGGATTGTCTTTTTATAACCACTGAAAGGGCCCCAGTCAGCTCGGGGGAGGGCTTGTTGGGACAACCGAATTGTGACCTGTAATACAGTCTTTCTTGTCCGGCTTTCCCTCCTTTTGTTTTTGACCGCCAGAGAGACAGAGTGTGTGGGTGTGTCACACACACCGAGTTGAGTTTTCGATGGTCTGTAACAGTTCGCACTAGGGCTAACGCTGGGAATTCAGGCCGGCAGGTGGCTGGAACCCAGACCCCTGAGCACACAGCATGCCTCCAGGATGCAGCAGGAAGCTGGGATTCCAACCCAGCACTCCAGTGGATCACTAAGCGTCTGAGCTACCAGTGGAATGCTCACCTCGTTTTCTATCTACACATCACTAATTTCATTCTTTGTTCTTTTATGTTTTCTTGTCAATAGTGGTAATGATCTCAACTCCAATTCTTGTCTTCTAATAACGAGTGTATATATTGATGACCTGAGGGAAATACTATGTCCCTCTAAGGAAGGACTGAAAACATGAAAAATCTTACAGAATATGCCAAGGGGAAAAAAAGCAAAGCACACAGTTGAATGGAAATTGTTTCAGTGATACAAAACTAAATCAATTTCTGGGCTACGCTCTAGGTAAGCACATAGAAAGGAAGTTGTGTTTTCTTGCAAAATTTCCTTCAGTGTCGCATGGCTTTTAACAATGATGATGGAGACATGGCAGTCTCTCCACCATAATATATGTTTATGTCACCAGCTGAAGTGCTCACGGGGCTGAAGGTGTTTTCAGAAACTCTGGCTTCTCACCATGACTCATTATGAGTGTTATTTCCTCAAACATGTTTGAACGCTTCAGTCGCGTTTAATATTTAATTCCAGAAGTTTCTTCCCTGTTCTGCAGTAATTCCTTTCTTCATAAACGCTGTTTAGGTCTCATTTCCTGTGTTGTTCCTCACATTTCAGGAATTCCTTTTGCTGACTTTATACCGCTGTTGGCGTCTACCATTGCTCCTTTGTTATCTTTAGGGACCACTGACTCTGTTTCCAAAGCCCATTCAGTCCTGTCGGGTGGATTCCAACAGGGGAAAACGTGTTGGTCACAGGGGCTCACTCGGGGCCCGTCAGGGGAGGTAAACAAGTCAGTGACGTGCGGATCCCGGCCCCTGGCTGCCACGAATCGGGGTCTGGCTCCAGGACCGGGTCCGAGGTCCCGCAGCCCGTCGCCGGGAACACGAGCAGCTCCGCCGCCCGCGAACTTTCGCCGCGTTTCCGGCTACCTCAGGCAGCCGCGACGCCGCGCGGCCCGCCCCCCGGCCGTGCGCAGGCGCGCTGCCGCCTTCCCCGCCCCTAGGCGGTTGCTCGCGGCGGCCGCCGCCCTCCCCCGGCCCAATGGCGCGGCGGCCGCGTCAGTGATGTGAGGCAGCGCCGGGGCTCGTCCGGCCCGCAGCCCATTACACCATCGGCCGCGGCAGCCGCTGCAGGCGCCGCAGCCCGGCGGACGGCGGAGGGCGGGAGGCGGCCCGGCGTGGCGGGGCGGGGCGAGCGGCGCGGCCGGATTCATTCCTGTGGGGCGCGGGGCATGGAGGAGCAGCGCGGCCGCAGGCGGAGCAGGGCGGTCCGGGCGGCGGCGGGGACAACGGTTTCCATTTGAAGGGGGCGGCGGAGTCCTCGCGGCCGGCGACGGCGGGAAGACTTGGCCCGGGGCAGGTAGTGGCGGCGGGCCGGGCCGCAGGCTGCGGCGCCCGCGGGAGGCCCGGGCGGGAAGGAGGGCGCCCCGGAGCGGGCGGCGGGCGCTCGGAGGCCGGGCCGGGCCGCGGGGGGCTGCGGGCCCGGGGCTCCTCGGGGCTCCCCGGGGCCGCGGGAGGGACGGCTCCGCCGAGTCTGCAGGACGGGCGCCTCGGGCCGAGGTGTTTGGCGTTGGCCGGCCCGGTTTGGCGTGCGGGCCTTTTTTGTTCCCTGCCGCCTGCCGTCCCGCCGGCACGAGGCCCAGCGGCCGCGCGCCCTTGGCCGCCTCTCCTCCGCGGAGGCCGGGCCGCGCGCCGGGCGGAACGGGAACAAAGCTGGGCCGGGGAGCCCGGAGACGGGCCGCGTTCCCCGGTGGAGCCTGCGCTCGGCACGAGGGCGAGCGGGGCCCCTCTCCTTCCTTCTTAGCCTAGAGAATAGGAACCTAACTTTGTTCCGGAAAATTCCTAACCGCCCTCCCCCCTCCTCTCTCCAGCTGGAGCCCTGGGGTCCGATGCGGGGCCGCCCCTGCCGTGCGCGGGGTGCCGTCCGTCCTGCCGCGGGGTTCGGGTCCCCGAGCCGGGCCGCCGCTCGGGCGCTGTGCTCGCCGCACGTCTCGGTCGACCCCGCGCAGCCGCCCCACCGGCCCTAGATGGATCTCAAGACGGCCGTGTTTAACGCCGCGCGCGACGGCAAACTCCGGCTGCTCACCAAGCTGCTGGCCAGCAAGTCCAAGGAGGAGGTCTCCTGCCTGATCTCCGAGAAGACCAACGGGGCGACGCCGCTGCTCATGGCCGCCCGCTACGGGCACCTGGACATGGTGGAGTTCCTGCTGGAGCAGTGCAGCGCCTCCATCGAGGTCGGGGGCTCGGTCAACTTCGACGGCGAGACCATCGAGGGCGCGCCCCCGCTCTGGGCCGCCTCGGCCGCCGGGCACCTCAAGGTGGTGCAGTCGCTGCTGCACCACGGCGCGTCCGTCAACAACACGACGCTCACCAACTCCACGCCGCTGCGCGCCGCCTGCTTCGACGGGCACCTGGAGATCGTCAAGTACCTGGTGGAGCACAAGGCCGACCTGGAGGTGTCCAACCGGCACGGCCACACGTGCCTCATGATCTCGTGCTACAAGGGCCACAAGGAGATCGCCCAGTACCTGCTGGAGAAGGGGGCCGACGTGAACAGGAAGAGCGTGAAAGGTGAGCGGGCCTGGGCAGGCGCTGGGCAGGGGTGGGCAGGCGGTGGGCAGGCGGTGGGCAGGCGGTGGGCAGGGGTGGGCAGGGGTCGGCAGGCGGTGGGCAGGCGGTGGGCAGGGGTGGGCAGGGGTCGGCAGGCGGTGGGCAGGCGGTGGGCAAGGGTGGGCAGGCGCTGGGCAGCCGGTGGGCAGGGGTCGGCAGGCGGTGGGCAGGGGTCGGCAGCCGGTGGCAGGCGCTGGGCAGCCGGTGGGCAGGGGTGGGCAGCCGGTGGGCAGGGGTCGGCAGCCGGTGGGCAGGGGTCGGCAGCCGGTGGGCAGCCGGTGGCTCCCACGAGCCCCCCAGACATGGCGTTTTCTCCTTGCTTTGGAGTGGATTCAGGTTCCCAAGGTGCCTGTGTGGGGTCTCGGGTTTGTGTTGAGCCTGTCCTGCGGCAGAGTTTATGTAATACACTTTGCTTGGAGACCCCCTCCCCCATTTTGTTTTTGTTTGTTTAGCTCAGCCTTGGGAGGGGAGTGAGGCGGCGCCTGGTTTGTTGCAGTGTCGGGAGGCGAAGGCCAGCCCGACCTGGCAGGGTTCAGCTCAGGAAAAGGGCAGTCTGCTTCCTTGTTGCGTTGTAGTTAGGACTAACAGGAAACCCAGGCAAGTAAACATCATATGTGTAGTAAGAGAAAACGGATTTTTGAAAGTATTTCAGTACCGAGAGTGAAAACGAGGACTGAGTTAAGCAGATGTGGGTTTGTAGGCGAGTAACAATGCAAATTCCTTCGTCCAGGAAGAGCAGGCCTTACAGTGCTGCTTGGTAGACTTTGTACATGAAAGCCTGGTTTTCCTACCTCTATTTAAACAGCTGCAGGGGGCTCGTTAATTTTAGGAGGCTTGTGAAATGTCAAGGTAACATGCATCCATCTTAAAAACCTTTGGCACAGGGTGAATTGATGTCTCCTCCCCTGGAGTTGAGGCGTCTGGCTGCCCGCCTTGCCCCACAGTTACAGAGTGTGTGTGTGAGTGTGTGTGTGTCCCTCGCCCCGCATTCATGGTGTGTGCGTTGTGTGTCTGTGTCCCTGTCTGTCCGTCTGAGCCTGGCAGAGCCGAATACGAGAATATGGGCATGTCTGTCTGTGTCCCCTGCCTCTTCTCACCGCTGGTTAAGCCATGGCCTTCTGTGTTTTTTAACCTTGATTTATCTTGGCTGCCGTTCAGCTCCGGTGTGTAGCCACCTCGTTCTTGTTTCACAGCTGTACAGTGTTTCACTGTATAAACGTGCATAATTTATCTGGTCGTCACCAACAGATGTTCAGATCTCATCTAGTGCTTCGCTGATACAGACCATGCTGTATGCTTGTCCACTTGGCGGTGCAGGCTGTGCACACCAAGCCGTGTGTGTTTGGACTGCTCAGTCACCGAGCGTGTGTGCTGAGCTGCTTGTGAGGGTGGTGCAAGATCATCATGGTTGTACAAGTGTACATTTCTTCTGTCCTTCCAGAGCTGACTTTGCATGTACGTGTGTGTGTACAGTTTTTTTATATAATATCCTATGACTTGTTTTGCACCCAAATCTGTTATCTTTGTCATTAATCATAGCTCTTGGAACAACTGCACATTCCTTGAAGCAAGGTTTACAGCGCTTCCAATTTTTAGTGTGATTTAAAAAATGCTCCCTACACATTGTTTCTTGTGAATGTTGCATTTATTCCTGATTGGCTTTAGAAGTAGGAGAGTCAATTGCCAGCTTGTCTTTTCTTGAAATGAGCATTCTTTAGAAGAGTGCTTGCTGTAAGAAAGCTAGGCACTGTGTGGCTCGCCGTGTAAATGCCTGGAGAAGGTGAAGCAGAGGGGTCCGAAGGATGGCGTCTCTGCTGTGTGCTCAGTCCCGCCCTCCCCTCACTGCCTTGGCGGGGGGGATGTGCCCCCTCTTGTCGCCTCAGTGGTCTGCTCAATCTCTCATTTCCCCACCAGTGTCAATATCTATTATATGTGCCTTCAAAAATATAAACAAACAGCATGAGAAAACACTTTTATATCCAGAATTATTTTTCAGATAGTCTCAGTTCTATGTAGCTGTGTAAATAGGCGTCATCGTTGTGTGTGTGGTTGCTTTAGTGTTTTCTGGCCTTTGACGAGGTTCTTCGTGACTTGGGCAGGCTGAAGGACCTGTCCTCGCCCGCACTGCCGTCAAGAAGCTTCGGTTCTTTGACAGCCATCCCCCCCGCCCGACTTGGGATTTTCGTTTCTTTAAAATGTGTTAGCAGTACTTATAAAGCTAGCACCAACGGAAATGGAGACACAGACACTGGAGAGAAGGGTCTGATGGGGCTGCAGAAAGGCTGTTCTTCACGTTCTTGCCCCAAATGGACAATTGGTCAGACCAGGGATCAAGTCGAGTGCTCTCAGGACATTTTATTTGCCACCATTGTACATGTTTCTGAAGAAGGGATTACCACTATATTGTACTTGGTCTGCTTAAATATAAAATTCATGTGACTTCTATATCCCATGACTTCTTAACAGGCAGTTGACATTTGAATATGTTTTTAAGCTTATTTCGATTACTTTTTAACAGGCTGTTGGCATTTTGAGTATGTTTTGACCTCAGGTGGAATTCATTCCTTGAGTGTTTGTTGAGTCCCTTGGTGTGCCAGCTGTTAGAGTTAGGACATGGTCACAGATGAGTAAGACTGCCTGCTCTGGAGGGGAGCCGGGTTCATCCGCAGACACTTGAGTCGCCATATGGCCCGTCAGTAATGCTTTCTCCTAACAGATAGCTGGAAATACTTCCCCAGCCACCTGCTACCTGGGGACAGCTGATTGATTCTTTCCCAGAGAGGGGAAACAGTCTGAGCTGCTTAGGAAGACCTGCCCAGTTCAGCAGCCACATTGGTTGAATTTTGAGATGGCAGTTAGGTCCTATATGTGAATCTAGACTGTAAATCGAAGCTGATTGTATAAGCCACTTTAAAAGCTGTCACAGGATAATTGCTGACTTGGTTTTTTGTTGTTTTGTTTGGACTCAGCATGAGACTTTGCATATTTAAACTGAAAGTACCTAATTTCTTCCATTCTGCTTTTATTTTTTTAATGTTTATTTTTATTTGAAAGGCAAGTATACAGAGAGAAAGAGAGACTTGGAAAAATCTTCCAATCGCTCATTCACTACCCAAATAGCCGTAACAGCTGGAGCTGAACTGATCAGGAGCCAGGAGCCTCTGTCTCCCTCATGAATGCAGGGTCCTTGTCATCCTCTGTTGCTTTCCAAAGCCACAAGCAGGGAGCTGGACGGGAAGTGGAGTGGCCAGGATTCAAACTGATGCCCTTATGGGATGCTGGTGCTTGCAGGCAGGTTAGCCAGTTGAACCGTTGGGTTAGCCCCTCCGTTCTGCTTTTACACTCGTTGGCGTGATTCACCACCGCAGGCCCAGAGGACACACTCTGGGCTGAGTTGGGATACTTGCCCTGGAAGGTCTGCGTGTAAGAGCACCCGCTCATGGGCTGTACACCTGCCGTTACCATGGGTGCTTTGCGTAGGTGAGGCGCTGTGTTGGATGCTGTTGGCTGCGAGGAGGTAACGCGGACGGATTTGCTGAGCGCTCGGATGAAGATGTCGGCTGTATATCCTGTATCGGAGTTCAGAGGAGTATACTGACGAGCATTGTGTCACTCAGAAAGGAAAATCTGGTTGTTGGGGTTCAGGTGTGCAGGTTTTGAGGCAGCTTTCTAGGCTTAGGAAATGGCAGCAGGGCTGGCAGCACTGGGACGTGGACTTGGAATTGGAAAGGAACCATATTCCATCAAGGGGCACCAAGGGCAAAAAGGGAAGTTTGGTTTTACTTGTCATGCAGTAGAATGCCACAGTTCTTCAACAGAGGAGGAGCTTTAAAGAGAAATTCGCCTCTGCATTCTATTGTGAGATTTTGAGGCTCTGTTTGTCAGATAGATCAAGTGTGTTTGTAGCTTAGCTTACTGAATGAATGTTAAGTTGAAAAGAAAAATATTATAAGCTACCTGATGGTAAGCTGCAAGCTTTTTTTGAATTCTAGAGAACTGAGTATTTTGTAAATACTTAAGGTGGGAGGATAAGATAATATTAAAAGTGAATGATTCCGGTAGAGCTGTGGCTTTGGGCTGACTGACACAGCTAAAAGCTAGTTGGGGCAGCTTTCCTACCTTTTACTTTGGAAGTTTTGTAACACATATAAACCGCAGTGTCGCCATCGCTCTGATCATTGATTGAACACTGCATTTCTGGAGCTGGCATTGTGGTGGTGTAGGTAAACTTGCTGCCCGAGACTGGCATCCCAGTGGGTACTGATTCATGTCCTGGATGCCCCACTGCTAGTCGGGTTCCTTGCTCTGGAGCCTGGGAAAGCAACAGAGGATTGCACATGACCTTGGGCCCTTCATCCACATGGGACACCCAGAAAAACCTGGCTCCGGCTTTGTCCTAGCCCCAGTCATCGTGACCATTTTGAGGGTGACCCAGTGGCTGGACGGTCTCTCGTTCTCTCCCTTTCTCATATGTTGATTGACTTAAATACCACAGTAAACGTGATGGAACCCTGAGGACGAGAGGGAGGTGCTCATCCAACAGTCCCATGTATGCTGTCTGACTCGAAGTTCTCTCCTTCCCCTCTTGCTCTGGGAAGCACTGTGATGGAAAAGGAAGTGTGCCAAAGAGAGTCATCGGGAGATGGAGTTGCTGTGAAGTATGCGCTGGTGGTCTTAGTCTGCAGTTGTTTTAGCCCCATCTCTGAGCTGCAGGTTTCTTGGCCTTGAAAATTCTCCTACCATCGAGACTCACTGAGTCGTTGAGGCACTTCTTGGCGTTTGCCTGTCGCGAGCGCAAGGACCTGTGCTAGACACAGCTGGGGCTTTCTCTGTTAAGTTTCTGACAGGAGTCACTAGCAGTGTGGCCAGGTTGCCTTTGGTTCTATTTTCTTTCTTTCCTTATCTTTTTTTTTAAGATTTATTTTTCTCAGAAAGATTTACAGAGAGAAGGAGAGACAGAA